CCCCTTTGTCTCCGGTCTTGTCTCCCTTCTTGTTGGTCATTGTGTCCGTCTTGTCTCCCTTCTGTTTCCTCTCCCTTCTTGTCTCCCTTGTTGTCCCCATTGTCATTTGTCTCCCTGTGTCTACATTTGTCTCCCAGCTCTGGACTGCTGTGTCCCTCTGCCTTGCAATCGTTTACATTTGTCTCGCAGCGCTGGGCTGCTGTGTCCGCCTCAATCCTTATTTTACATTTGTCTCCCAGCTCTAACTGCTGTGTCCGCGTCTGCCTTGCAATCCTTTGCGTGTGTCCTCGCAAGCCTTTGCATTTGTCTCCCAGCTCTGGACTGCTGTATCCGCCTCTGCCTTGCAATTCTTTATTTGTCACCAAGCTGGGCTGCATGCTTGCAATCTTTTACATTTGTCTCCCTGCGTCTATATTTGTCTCCCAGCTCTGGACGTCGCAAGCTCTGTTCCGATTTTGAAAAACACAACCTGTTTGGGGTCTACGGTGGTGTGATTTTTGTTCGATGTAATTTTGGCTCCCAGAGATCTAGACGAATTCTTTTGAAACGACAGCTATGTACGAAGGATCCTATATTAGCAATGGATCCAAGATAATGACTCAGACGGCCAAGGCCAGTCCAAGGGGCCATTGCTGGATGGAAATCTCTCGACCCTTTGCGCCAGCCATGTGGCTTTGAGGAGAAGCGACTTGTTTGGGGCCACCAGCCTGTGTCTCGCCTAAAACAAGCATGGGTGGAGCTTCTGAGGCATACTTACCGCGTCTTGATGTTGGCCACTTTTGTTGATGTTTGCCGTTTGAGGTTTAAGGACAACTTTCAGACCCTGCTGACACAGAAAAGCTGTCCGGTACTGATACTCAGCTGAAGCTTGACCTGTACTCCCACTCTCCGACTAGAGGCTTTGCACCCTGCCCAGTTTGGTCTCATGCTGAGGATGGATCCTTCTATTTCAGTGGGCCCCAGCATCGCCCGGAACACGGCCAAAGGAGGCATGACGATGCAGCAGCTGAGCCACATCCTTCGCTTGGCCTACTACGCCACGCCCTTCGGCGATCCGCACAAAGACCCCTTCAACTACACTGGCTACGACGCAGCGTTTGCTGAAAGGGTTGGCTTTGTGAGCTTGCTGCAAGGTGGAGCCCAGGGTGGAGGTTTCTGTTGCTGTAAAACATGTTAGCTTTTGCCTTGTCACCCCAACCACTTGTGCGACCCGACTCATTCGGGCCCAATGAAGGGGCCCCTTGACTTCGCCTTTGCCTTTGAGAGAAAGGCGCGTCGCTCGCGCCATTTGCGCACTTCGAGCCACTGTTCATCAGTGGTAGCGGAGCTCTGGAGCCGGCCAGAGCCCACTGAAGGCACTACGCCTACTTCGTCTTCACCATCCTCGCTTTGGAAGCCTTCAGCGAGCGGTGGCTTCACGCAGTGAAGCTTGTTTGCTTTGGATTTGAGAGGAGCCCAATTTTGCAGTGGCAGTTTTCCTTTGTTTTCCACTTCGCGGATCATTGATCCTAGCTCAACGAGTCCTACGGTGACTTGGCGGCCTACGCCCGTCAGCGGCTTGCTTGGCAGCCTATATCCGCTTACATCCAGCGGCGGACTACTCTAGCCCTATAAGTTTGAGTTCACCGGTTACCAGAACACCTACAACCCGGTGACCTTCCTGTACCAGTTCGACTGGGAAGATCCCTGACGAGATACCATGGTGGCGTTTGACCATCTTCACCGCTTCTGTCTAGGCGGAGTTGGAGCGACGTCCTCAAGTCCAGCGAGGCCAGCTCCACCAAGTTCACCGATGGCTGGATCACATCGAGCTGAACATGCACGACCTTCTGAACGTCATGACCCCGGTGTTCCTGACCCTCCTGGATTACCAGATCCTTGCAAGGGCGGCGGCTGCAATCAGTGCGGCGGCAGCAAGACCGCCAACTCCAACAGGATCGCAAGCTGGGAAAGAGGCCTCAGGAGGTCGCAAGTATGTCGGCTACAGGCTGGATCCGGCACCGTCCTGGAGCAGCGATCAACCCACTACAAGCACATCCGGAACCTCCAGTTGTGGCTAGTTGAAGCTGAGGCCAGACTTAAAACTGATCGGCAAGAGAATCATTGATAGCACCCCCACTGGTTCAAAGCTGAGCTCCCTCATTCTGCAAAGTCATAAGACCATTATTTTGCTATCATCGAGGACGCTCGTGAGTACTTAGATGGGCTGGCTTTTACTAACTAGTTAACATAATTATGAACTTTGTTAACACAATCATAACATTGTTTTAAACTATCTCCACCATAGTCCTAACATGTTATAATTGTTATTCATTATTACAAAAATGGTTAATTTTCCAGAAGTGTTACATAATTTTCATAATCATGTTTAAAGTTATGCAAAAATAGCAAAATTAATATGTTTTTTATAATTTTTCAATTCTTTATTTCAAATATGTAATTTTTATTTCCCAAGGCGTGAAATCAACAAGGTTGCCTTTTGATGCTGTGATTTTCTGAGATGTTTTTTTGTGAAATAGTCAGCTTGCCTTGTTGAAACCAGCCCCTGCTGAGATTGATGAACAGGAATGTGATTTTGTAAGGGGCATGGCAGGCTGTTCCTTTTCAGCAATGGAGGAGGTGTTGGCTCAAGTTCTTTTTGTTGACCATGGAAGAGTGCTGTGTGCAGATCAGCAGAAAACTCGAGATCACTTTGAAGGGCAACAAGGTTCAAATACCAGATGAGCTGGTGGCCCAGGACCTTGAGTGTATATTTTGATTTTCATTTTCACTCTATATCCCCTTGTTGTCAACCAGCTTTTGCATTGGCCTGCATGCATTGGCCTGCCATGGCAGGACTTGAATGGTGTGGAGTACATCAAACTTAGACCCACTGCCCCTGCCATTGTCAAATTGGTTTGTGGAAAGTGCGAGAAGAATGGCAGCCTGAGCAATGGTGAGTGCTTGAAGGCCTTGAAAGAGAAGAGGAATGCACAATTTGCAGAAGCACATGCTGACAGCAAAAAAAGGAAAGCTGAAAGTGTTGTTGAGATCGATGTATGTGGAACACCAGTACAGCTTCTTTGCCCACCAAAGAGAGTGAATGCAGCAGATCTACAGGTGTGCCTGGACCCATACAGCTGCAGGCAGTGATTCTGTTCTTGGAGCCAGACTGTCAGCTCTTGACTTCCAAAAGGAAGTATGACAAGAGTGGGAAATTCAAAAGGGATGCAAACAATGAGATAGAAGACTCAGATGTAGAAGAGTGAGATGTGCAAACAAGACACTTGCAACAATGGATGCTTGAGCAAAAAGGCCATTTGCTGCCAGCCAAGTGCTTTGTTCCTGTTGACTCTTCAGCCATGGTGGCTTTGTTTTGTTTTTGTTGTTCTTCAGCCATGGTGGCTTTGTGTTGTTTTTTATTATTCAGCCATGGTGGCTTTGTTTTGCTCTTGTTTACTCTTCAGCCATGGTGGCTTTGATGTGCCTTTGTTATTTTCCAGCCATGGTGGCTTTGCTTTGCTTTTCAGTTTTCATCCATGGTGGCTTAATTTCAATGCTGCATTGTATTCTCAGCCACACAAGGCTTCAAACCATGATTTTTGTAAAGTGTATGTTTATCATGTTTTGTGAAGCAGCTTCATGCATAGCAAGTTGCAGGAACCCAATACATAATTGGATAGCATTGGCAAATCCAATGGACACAAAGAAACTTTCACTTTAGAGTGCCTGACAGGCCTGAAAGAGCCATGGCTGTGCCTCTGGATGTCACAGAGGAGATCAAAGGGCTGCTAGACCCTGCCTGCACAGTTGGTGTGCGTGTGAAGTTGGAGAGGATCTTGCTGGCATTGGAGAAGGTGGGCCTAGCATACAAGGCAATGATTTCCCCAAAGGGAAATGATGTGCCACCCCTCGAACAGAGGGACTTCAATGTGCAATGCACACAATGTGCACTTGAAAGGACAGCAGGTGTTGCAAAGTGGCCTGAAGAAAGACTTGTTGCCTCCCAATTCTTTGGGGATAGAGCTTGCAGTTGAAAGTGGGGAGAAGGCAAGGCAGTTGAAAGCCAACCAGCAGATGATAGCCCAGAGCAGAGGCATGTTGGCCCCTTTGAGGGGTGGAGAGCGGTTCCTGGGCCTTGCTAGCTTTCACTTCAACCAATTTGCAGAGCCTTGACCATGGTTGTCTGAAGGCAGATGGGACACAGCTTCACATGACGCCAGAGATCAAGGCTTTGGTGGAATCTGGCTGGCAATGGTCAATCTTGAAAGCAGAGGCAGCTGTGTTGTTTCCAGACCTCCCAGCCGTTTGCTCCATGGGCATGAATGCTCACAACAGCAACACCATTTTGACCAATGAGCTGGAGGCAATGATGGAGCTTGCTGCCCTACACAGAAATGGTATGAAGATGACAGAGGCAGTGCAAGCTGTTTGCCAAAGCAGCCCTTCTTGCAAAGCATACATAGATGACTGTGCACAGTTTATGCGGCTTTACTCTGGAGGGGAAACCTTTCCCATGCTACTCTGGTTGGACAAGTTCTGTAGCTTGGTTTGTGGAAGCAATGGTTTGTGTATTTGTGAGGTTGCTTTTTGTGTGTTTTTGACACACTCTCTTTTGGCTGGCTTGGCCCAGGTAAAGCTTCTGGCCATTCACTTTTGGTTGGTGAGGAAAACACCAACTTGCTTGCCCACTGCAATTTCAGGTTGCCTGGATGCCAGTTCAGCTTTCTTCGCATTGCCCTATTGGCCACTATTCTCAGTTCAAAGCGCCATCAAGATGGTATCTCTAAATTGGTGTTCAAGTCAGATTTTGACAAGCTGAAGGGCAAGAACACAACCTTGGCCGTTGAAGACCTTCTTTCCAATGGCTGGAAGGAATCCCAGAAGGTGGAAGACAAAGGTCTTGGTGAAATGAGCTTTGGCAAGTTCTGTGTGCGTGTTGTCCTGCATGCTTTGCAGAAAGAAAAGCACAGTAGGGATGGGTTGCGCTTTGAGTCATTTGAAGCTATAGTGGAGCAGCTTTCAAAGGAGCTTGAGGGTGGCTCTTATGTTGCAAGCTCAAGTGCTGCAGATGCCAAAGGTGCTGAGTCTTTGAGAGTGAAGGATTTGCTCAAAGCAAGTCCAGATGAAGTTGCCATGTTGCAGAACCACCACATCACAGTTGGCAAGAACTACACACACAGAGACTACAAGGACCAGGTGTTCACCATGGAGGGCATCAAGGATGGCTGTGGTGTCTTCAAGCATGTTCCATTGTTTGGAGAGGCTATTGAAGTTGTTGCTAGCACTGAAGAGCTGAAGGATTGGAAGAACACTAAGAAAGAAGCTTGCCAGCTTTGTCCCACAGAGGTTGTCAAAGCTCGACTTCCTGAGGCTTGCTCCTTTGTTTTGGATGAGTGGGCTAAGATGAACGCAAGCTTCTTGTTGGCAGAGGCTTCCAAATTGAACAACAAGGCAAGTTTTGACATGGTTGCCTTCACCAGCTTTCCCAATGGCTTGATGAGTGTGAAGAAGCTCAAATCCAAAGAGCTGCAGATCTACCCAGTTGGATCATTGGTGAAGATCAAGGAACAAGAGAAAGCAGATGAGCTCTTGGCCAAGGGTGTGGTCCTTGTGCGCTTCAAAGGCACAGCCTACCTGATCCAGACCTTCAAGGCCTTCAACCCCTGCAAAAGTGATGATCCAGGAGTTGTTTGCCCATACTTCTATGTCAAGACCTCTGAAGGTGAGGATGAGGTCAACATGCAGGTGAGCTGGAAAGCCCACAGTGACCTGCAGATTCCTGTCTTGGAAAACAGCAAGGCCATTGACAAGCACACTTGGCTTCTCAAGGGAAAGGATGTTTCCACTGCCCCTCCTGCAAAAAGACCCAAAAGGAGTCATTGATTGCAGGTATAAGTAGCAGTGTGCAGAATTGTGAGTGAGAGGAAGAAAAAGGGAAGTGCAGCTCCAATGTGTACAGTTCACTTTTTTATTGTCTTTTGTTGTTCCTAGCCAGTGCTTGGTTCTTTTCTATTTAGCCATTTGTTGGCGTGTGCACATTGTCATTATTTTGTGCTGCTTTAAGCAATGTTTCTTTGCTGTTGTTGCGCATTCAGCCTGTTTTGGCTTAAGTTCTCATATTTTACATATTCAGCCACTTTCTGGCTTTTGTTTGCTTATTTCTGAATTTATTCAGCCACTTTGTGTGGCTTTTTTTGGTTCTTGTACTTTTGTTTTGATCTAATTCAGCCGTTTTGTGGCTTTGATTTGTTATTGTTTACTTTTTGGTTTATTTAGCCACTCTTTGGCTTTTGTTTGTGGCCTCATTTTCCGGAAGCAGCCTTTTGGCTGCATTGCCAAAAGTCTATCAAATATATACATAGTTTTCATTTTGAAGGCCCAAGCACCAGCCTTTGGTAGTAATGATGCAGGCCTCTCAGAAGAAGAGGCCCAGGGATGAACTTTGGGATTCCTGGGCTGCCTGGGATGATGACCAGGAGGTTTGTGTTTTTGTGCATTTGTTTGCTAAAAGGGTAGAGTATCTAGGAAAGCAACCTCATACACTTGTTGATCTGCAGCTCAGTTGTATTGTTCAGTTGAAGTTAATCCAAACCTTGCAGGACCCTACACTGCCTCATGAAGAGCTGGTGGAAAATGTGGCCAGGTTGCTCAATAGTCATTTCTCCAGGGAAGAAATGACCGCAGCCTAGCTGCTTGAAAGTTGTGCAATTTTTTTGATATGCTGGTTCCATTAAGTTTAAAGACTGTGCCCTTGATAGACACCATGTTGTTGTTTTTTTAACTGGTTTGTTTTGAGGATTTGGACTACATGATGCACCTCAAGAAGAACACAGTGCAAGAAGCTGAAACTCCTCCAGTTGCAACTCATATGCCAGGACCAGCTCAAGATGAAGTACCGCCTACTGAACAAGCTACTGAACAAGCTCAAGCTGAAGAAGCTCCATGGAGGAAGCAGACCAGTGATACCAGACCTTTTGATACCCAAGAGCTCAAGGTGCAGATGAAGGAGCAGAAGGCAGAGATAGCTCCAGCTTGCAAGACTAGACCTGCCAAGGGTGTGGTTCTCAATGTAGAGACTTCTGGAGCAGCCACTGGGGTTGAGCTGAGCAGTCACAGGACCAGAAGGAGCATGATGCAAAGAAGAATGCAGAAGCCCCACAACAGAGCTCTGAGGTTGCCTCAGCTTCTACAAGTCGACCTAAGTTGACCTGCACTCCCAATGAAATGTGGAAACAGCTCTATGGTGATGGTGGGAGGTTTGTGCAAAAGCAGCAGGACCGATACTTAAACTGTTTCAATGCTGTTTGTTATTTCAAAGGGACTAGGTGTGAATGTGTGTTGAGTCAATGTATTTGTGCTTTATTGCTTGCAGGAGCAACCAAGAAATGAACCACTACTTCCCTGGAAGAATGGTTGGGCAATGAAAATGGCATTGTTTTTGCTGGCCTGGAAGTCCAGGGATGGAGAAAGATGCAGAAAGATGTTACATGAGTACTCCCAAAACAAGAAGATGAAGGTGATCATCGATGCTCTCAAAGTGAAGGTGCAGAAGCATGGGTGGCCTACATGGTCTGATCCAGACACTGAAAAAGTGAAGTCATCTCCTGACCTCACCTTCACAGGCTGACAAGGCT